TTGCCTCCGTGGGTATGGTGACAAGTCAACATTTTTTTAAAAAAAATTTGTATAAGAACTCTTTTGCTTTAAGTTGACGGTTTGTTTTTAATACAAATCTAAAATGAGTCCTTTTTTTAAGTTCAATTTTCCAATACACCCTTCATTTTTGTACTCTTGTGACCTACCATTTGCAGCTGCATTAATAGCAACAAACCTACTGAGTTATGGCCCCCACATATATGATGTATACACAGCTGCATCACAAACATCCATAATTTTTGTGGGTATAAATAACTAATAATTAACATAAAGACAATATTCATGCAAAAGTATTTTCGGTTTGTGGCCTTTCTATGCCGTCATTTTTGGCTTTGGATACCCAGACATCCTTCATTTTTGTACTCTTGTGACCTACCATTTGCAGCTGCATTAAAGCAACAAATCTAGTGAGTTATGCCCCCACATATATGCATACACAGCACATAAAATATGCATATGAAAACACATATATATGTATATATATTGCATAGATGGTTATACATATAGATGCCTTTCATGTCAAGATCAGGGCATATGAATCCAACAGACTGGGGTGGTCCTTTTAATCTCTTACTAAGCACTGAAACGGGTCCATTCACTTCGCTGATTCGAGTTTAGAATTTGAGTTTTTCTACAGTAAAAAGTTCTCAGAAACAATCACATCTAACTTTTTTACTACAGTAAAAAGCTCTCACATAAAGTCACATCTCAACTCGAATTCTAAACTCGAATCAACGAAGTAAACGGAATCCATTCATGAAATCTCAAAGAGCCTCACAAAAACCCCGTATTGAATCTGATTAAAAAAAAAAGTTTTGAAAAAAAAAACGCACATGACTTATTTAAAACACGGTTATACAAATCGTCATGAAGAATGATTAATGATACCAAATTTTTTTTTTCAAATTTATAAACTAAAGAGGCCTTACTCTTTTGCTTTAGAGTGTATTTGATTGGAAGGAGGGAGAGGTGGGTGGAGGGAGAGAGATAGAAGGAGAATTTGGTGTGTTTGGTTGGGTGGAAAGGAATGGAATGAAATTCTAATTTGATATTTAGTTGGATTTATAAGAAAGGAATGATCATTCAAAAAGAATGGCCATTCACCCATTTTGGGTGAATTATCATTCCTACCTCATATGGGAAGAATGGTCATTCTAAGTTTGTTTTTTATTTTTTTCCATAATTACCCTTCAATATTATAACAGAATTAAAATATATTATATAAGAATGGAATGAAATTCTAATTTGATATTTAGTTGGATTTATAAGAAAGGAATGATCATTCAAAAAGAATGGCCATTCACCCATTTTGGGTGAATTATCATTCCTACCTCATATGGGAAGAATGGTCATTCTAAGTTTGTTTTTTATTTTTTTCCATAATTACCCTTCAATATTATAACAGAATTAAAATATATTATATAATAGTTATATCTTATAATATAATATAATATATAATAAAAAATATTATAATAACAATTTTAATAATATTGTTATATTATATATCATAATTATATAATAATAATTTTATTATATTATATTACATTTTATATATTATAATATTATAATTATATTAACAATTTTAATAATATTGTTATATTATATATCATAATTATATAATAATAATTTTATTATATTATATTACATTTTATATATTATAATATTATAATTATATTAACAATTTTAATAATATTGTTATATTATATATCATAATTATATAATAATAATTTTATTATATTATATTACATTTTATATATTATAATATTATAATTATATTAACAATTTTAATAATATTGTTATATTATATATCATAATTATATAATAATAATTTTATTATATTATATTACATTTTATATATTATAATATTATAATTATATTAACAATTTTAATAATATTGTTATATTATATATCATAATTATATAATAATAATTTTATTATATTTTATTATATTTTATATATTATAATATTATAATTATATTAACAATTTTAATAATATTGTTATATTATATTGATAGATAAAATATTAGTGTTAAATATAGTATAAGAGTAAGTTTGTCAACATGAAAATATTCATGTTCCATTCTAGAGAATTCTTAAAATTACAACCAAACAAATGAATCAACATTCTTTTCCATTTCATTAATATTATCATTACCATTCCCCTACTGTAACCAAACGCACCCTTATTTGATTGAAATGAGAGAAAAAGGAGAGGAAAGGTAGAGAGGAACTCAATCTACCCAGACCCATCATTTTACATCCCTCCACTTATAAAGGGATCCATACAATTCACTCATTAAAGATTTAAAAAAAACCATTTTATTCTTCAAAAACTTTATTTGAATTTGATAAAAAAGAACAATCTAATAATTAAATATATATTTATTCATCCATTCTTTTAACTCTCTTTTCTTTTTACCAAACAACATAAAAGATTACTATGGGTGTATTTAGAACTCGTTCTAAAATGATTTTATTTTTTGTATGAAAATAGAAATGAAAATGTTTTCAATTTCAGACAAAAATTATTTTTAAAAATGCATTTAGTAGTTTTATCAAGCGATTATTTTCAGTATAAAAAAAGTCATTAATGTCTCTTTGTGCTCGAGAGAGGAAAAAACAGAAATAAAAAATAAAAAACGACTAAAAATCATTTTTCATTTCTCTCATTTTACACTAAAATAAAAAATTATTTTCATTTTTATTTTTTATCTTTAATTATACTAAATACCGTTTTAAAAACGTTTTCATTTTTTCTTTCTCAAAAAACGTAAAAAACAAAAATAAAATCAACTCCATATCTTCTCTATCCCTCCGACTCTTTCCGTCTTTTTTTCTCCCCATTTACGTTTAATTTTTCGTAGCGCCGACTACCTAGAGGAGACACAGTCCTCTGTAAACACGCTAATTAATTGGAGACATGACGGGCAAGTAAACGAAGATGTATTAGTGCACCAAGCTCGAGAGTTAAGAGCAAGATGTAAAATAATGCCTTTTGTACGGCAAAAAGGATTTCTTTAATTTTTCTGATCTTTATTTTTTTTTTCTTTTCTTTTCTTTGAAGAATGAATAATGTTACACATCACAGGAAAGAATTCATCCACGCAAATTGCGACTATGAATTTCAATTTACAGCATTTACACGAAGATTAATTAGAAGAGTACGTAGCTTGCGCTAGCAGCACTATGGTATCATTGATCAGCCAACAAGCTTAGATCGTTTCTTGAATCATCAATCAGTCGGTGAGCATTTCGATTGTTGAAAGGAAATAACCTGGAATTTCAATTAGATCATCTGTCCATGTAACGAGGCCAAGCTTTTGACCGAACACTTTGAAACATTTCACAGGCAAAGATAACTTAGCGGGACTCGTCAGAATTCGATAGAGCAAGATATGCTATCCTGCAACCGAAAGAGAGAATAACAAATCATAGTGAGATCACTAGCGAATTCAAAAGCTATCTTGCTCTTTGCAAAATGTAATTTAATGCGAGAAGAAAGGTAGTAAAGTAAGAATAGAAATACGTAAAGAATCAGGCAAGATTTAAAATAAAATAAAATAAAATAAAAAAAAAAAAATTACAAGTAGATGATAGTTTTATTACTTCCACCCTGGAGTTTATCATTGACCACGCAACATCTAAACCTCAATCAGGCTACTGAAAACTTGTAAAAATGAATCGCTGCCTCTAATATTGGAGGACATCAGTGCCCCATTAAATCAAGCCTGATTAAGAAGGGACTCGTAAGCCGGAAGTGCACGTTCAACTAAAGGATAAAAACTTCACTAAGTGCAAATACTAATCGCTAAAGCTCTGTTGCAAGTTTAGGAAATCATACCTAAATTTCAGTATACCAGGATCAACAGCACCTATAAATTATTTCATAATGCCTGATACCAAGAAAAGGTACTGAATAGGAATTATTAAAATTAGAAGCATTTAAATTCCCACCTTCCTCAGAGAAAGCAAATACACCACCAAGCATGTCGTCATTGTCGCCATCTTCTTCACATTTCTCCCTATCACAAGGACTGCTGCTGTCGACATCGGTGACAACTTCTGTTGATTCAGGACACCCACTTAGGGCAGATGCATTACAATACCCCTCTTGGAAAAATTGCTCAAAGTCCAGTGAGTCGTGTACTTGAGCCTCATCGAGAATGTTCATACTCGTATCTGAACGGTTGGAACTCACGTTCGAACCTTCAGAGGACTCACCACCATTCACTGATTGAATACCTTTCGCAATAGTTCTATCAGCAGAAAGTGAGACACCTGTTAAAGTGGATACGCCATTTGAAAAATTCCTATCCTCAACATGAGACACATCTGAGGCAGATTGTCTGGATCTGGAAGAAACCGAAACTACATCTTTGTTTGCAGAGCTTTGGTTCTGTAGACTTGACGCCAAAATAGACCTCCCTCCGTTTGCTCCTTTACTTTTATTGCCAGATTGGAGTAACGATGGATAAGAATCCCCTAAATATCCTGTTACTGTGCCAATAACCAGAAAGTTGCATTAGTAGCTCCTCCCGAAAAATCAGACAATGATATCGTCTTCCCACTACACAACAAGTCTTACCACTATCTGCGTGTTCAGACGAGCCAGTTGATGCTAACTGAGCATGGGAAATAACAGCATTATCTGAATACTTTTCTTTAGCTTCGTGAGAATCAACAGATGAATGTGAGCCAACAAGGCTCCTGCAAAATCAAGCAAACCAAGTTGATTTTTTCCTAAGATATGCAAACAATGAGATAATACGCATATAGATTTTCAGCAGATACATGAGCTCTAAGCACCACATGGATATCTCAAGAAGGTAGGTCTCTAATTAAACACATCACACTGAATATTTGAAATAAGGATGCATCATTCAGGAAATTCTGAAAGCAATTCTCAAAAAAGAAAAAATAAATGTTAAAATAGTTCCAAATAAGAAGGAAACATAACCTGATTCCATTACATATGTTATCAACAAAACAAAGGAACAAATTAATTTCATGGGGTCTCTAATAACGCCAGATATAGTATTCTTAAGATACTACTGTAGGCAGGGAAAACTAATGGTAAGCTTTATGGATTATCTACTATAAACCTTAGTACCTCAATTATCTTCTTCCCTCTTTAGAATGCATTCTATTATATTTTCTTGCCGGTACCCTCTATTACCCACATGGACCTTACAAAAATCTTAGTGTAGGTAAACACAATAAATTAGATGTTCAGAAGCATAACGTATTACTTTTTTTAAAAAATCACATAAAAGCATAATGTGATTACCAAATGCTGTTTTAATGTTTATTCTAAGGGACGTTTGGTTCATGGGTTCAGAACCATGATTCATGATTTTAATTTTTGAAATTCAAATTTTTTGTGAGAGAAAAACACTGTAGAGAATTAAGAACCACGATTCAGAACCAGGGACGAACCCTTGAAACAAACATCCCATAGAGTTCTCTTATTTCCCTTTTGGTTACTGCCAACCTCTAACTAGTCTTCGCATTCCCAACAGTACTGAAGCTGTGGGAGCACATAACATGAATGCGTTCCCTCTAGCATCGAAGATAGCTTTTCTTAACAAAAAAAAATATTAACCACACCAGAAATATTTAAAGCAATCAGATAAAACCACCATGCATCCCAACCTAACAGCAATATTCTGACTCCAAATTTATGTCAAGAATCAAATCTTGATTCATCCCTATGACTGATATAGTGAAATGTGACAGAAATTATACAATAAGATTATGCAAAATAGAATCATATATCAAGCTCTAAATAGTAGTGCAAGCCCAAATGAAAAAAAAAAAAAGGTTGGAGAAATACAAATGTCGATTACTTGATTCTTTATTCAGACATGTGATTTACTCCAGCGAAGAACAATGAAATATACGGCCAGCTGTAAAGTGACAGCATTTGATTTTTGGGTATATGTAAACTACAGAAGATACAACAACGAAACGAGTGCAGCATTAAATTACCTGTCACCCCAATTAGACTGTATCCTACTGAAATGATCAAAAACAGGAAGCAGATCCTTCCGCTTAATTTCAACCTCAGTAACAGGAATCTTCTCTATTTCAATCTCCCCACCAGATGGATTTTCAGTGAGATTTGCATAATTAACCTCCAGTGGACTCATCGTAAATGAGTATATCTAAATATAATAAATGGGATCAGAAAACGTCCCTTGTTCATTATCATAAAAGAGAAATTAACAATGGTGACATGAAAGAAATCCCATTTCATCAATGTAAAACGTACCTTGGACTTCTGCCAGATTGGTATCCTCCCAGAGTTTATTTGAACCTCAGCATTGGAGATATATAAGTGAGATCGTTCATGAGGTCTTACCAACTCCTTGTCCCTAATATCATTATCCTCAGAATCAGAAGTGTCCATGACCATCTCCGAAGCTTCTTGTTTCCTGAGAGTAATCCCAGCAATGCATTCTTCTCTTTCAGGCCAATCAGTTCTTCGGCAAACATCCCACCACTGAACAGGTTCCACTTTCATTCTCAACTCCTCATCTTGTATCTGAACGGAAGAACTTGACCCAGTTCTCGAAGCAGTTTCACTTGCCTCTCCTCCAACTGATGGAAGTATATTATATTGAATTACATTACCTGAAGGACTGTAAACCAATAGATGCTCCAAAGAGATCACCTTAGCATGAGCAGGTTGCAAATCATGAGGTACACAATTATGAAACACAGCAGTAAGAGCTCCAGAGGGCAAAAGCACCTTTCCTGCTGCAGAAGATGCAGCATTACTGACTGTATTGAGCCACCCAGAGTTATTATTCTTTATTCTGCTGACCACAGAAAGAGTTACAGGTAGCGGCGGTGGTGGAGAAAAAGATTGCTGGTTCACTATGAAAGATGGAGTGGACCACCATGGTAAAGATAGAACTGGTAAGAGAGTAGGCCCATCAGCATGAGAATTCTGTATCTGAAGAACAGTCTCACCACCAAAGGGAGAAAGAACAAAAACATGGCAAGTCCCTTTGTTTGAAACAATCGTAACCCACTGACTATATTGACTAAAACAAATGTCCTGGATCACCTGTGTAGCAAGACAAAATAATAGAAACCTCATGAACATAAATAAAACAACATTCAGAGGAGACATTCAGGAGAATCAGGACAGGAACATACAGCAGATGTCATGCCACGATGAAGCTTGTAAAGGTGCACGTGTGAAGAGCTCCAATCATAACTTTGCGTGCCTGAACCCACGTGTGAGCTGGAAGGCATAATTCGAAAAATATTGATATTGTTGCCATGAACTGAAGCAGTGACCAGAAGTGTCCCACTAGGGTCAAAACAGATAGCAGAAATTGGACTACTATGTGCCTTAAACTGAGAGACAACAGCTTTGGAAACAAAATCTTGTACAATAACCTGAAACGATAAGTAATTAGGACGAGCATTATTGCTTGAAACAAAAGAACGAAATAACACGTTTGATATTCCACCAGTTGATGGACTATTTAAAAATCATAATACAAAAAATATGATTCCTCTAATAGTAAAGACTAACCATTCCAGCACAATCTGATTCAGTCAAATGCCCCCGACCTACTGTCCAGCTGCCATTTGATGAAATAGGAGAGCCAGAACCATCAGGTATAAGTTCTTGATAGTATTTAGACAAAGTTTTGTAACCCATGTCACCCAGATTTAGTAGCCCAGCAGCTAACTGCTTACTAGATTCCTTGGCATATCGAGCTACCAGACTTCCATTGCCTGGTGAGGTTGACGGACTGACGCAAGGAGGAGTAAGACTTTGCGGACTTAAGCGTCCTGTGTTTGACTGCAATGGGTTATTTGACGCATAAGCCAACCACCTTGGACCTACGGCCATGGGGCCATAGCCAATATTAACCCCAACCATTCCTTGGACTCCCAACTGGGGGATTGGATAAGTGAGGACACTGAATTTGTTCTTAAGTGTGACTGCATCGAAGCAGTATATCTGGAAGAAAAATACACAAACGGAAAAATGTTGAAAACTTAGCCAAGTTCCAATCATCGAAAGTTAAGTGATCTAAAATCAATTACCATGCACAGTAAAAGGTTAGGTTGCATCCTTCCTTCAGTGATATTTCACTATAAGTAGGTAACAAGAAATCAAATCTAACTCTTTCTGCTTCGTAAAATAAATGGAGAACAATCCCCCCCAAAAAATGTTAACTCAAGGAAAATAATAGTAACCCCTTGACATATATTTGATCAGCTATTGCTTACTTGTGATGCAAGACCCCCAGCCACTATTTGAGGACTGCATCTGACCATATACACTGTCGAGCGGAATCTCAGAACATGAACATAATTGTGAGACCTTAGTGAGTAAAACCGAACAGCAGTTGGAGAGTAAATGAAATTTCCCACTTGATGTTCACTATAACCATTCCTGCCCAACCCATCTCTCCCACTTTGCATCACACCCAAGCTCTTTGATTCCTCACACGCAACAACCAAAAGCATAGGATGTGATGATCTAAATCCTTCATGATCCTTGGATTTTGCAGGCTGCGGCTGCATCTGCAAAAATGTAACTGGATCATCTTGTTTGGAGACAAGTTCACCGACATTCGAGGCGTCTTCAACATCAAGGACTTGAAAACCATTGGAATAACCGAGTAAGAGAACGTGTTTGAACGAAGATGGATCAAGATCTAGTCTGTCAAAGCAAGCAAACAGCACCTGTTTGGCCGAAACAAGTTAAACAATGCCGGCACACGAAATCTAATAAGTGCAAAGCAGTAATTGGCAGACACGCAGAATGTTATTGTAATTTTAAAAAGAATATTACACAATATACAAATTTTTAAGGTTAAACAAACTATCTTCTGCTTTGTATAGTTCCCAAGAACACACAGGAATAAAAAAGAGATAGAGAAAATTGAAACCGTCAATTTCCTATTTTTAAACATTAGGAATCCGAATTAGAATTGCAATTAATTGGCCAATATCCCTATGTTGAACTTATAGCCACAGAATAAAATTCACTGAAATCATCAATCTCAACACCTAAAATTAAACCCAATTTTCTCAAAAAGCAATCAGAACAAAGAAAACTTCAACTTAGAAGGCTGTAATCGACGAAGCGACTTATAACTCTCAATCAAAATGCAACAGTCAAAACCCTTCATTTCGCTTTGTAGTCTTAATTTCCTTGTAACCAAATAAAAAAGACCTTGAGGAATTCAAATCCAGAAAAACTATAAAAAAAAAAAGCCAACGAAATCAGAATCCTTTTGCATTCCGCTGTCTTTTCCTTTCTCTCAATATACCTTTTGCTTTTCCCTATCAACAAGAAATTCAACCGTACTCCGCGATTCCTCAACTTTCTCCGCGACCAAACAATAAACAATATAGATATCCCAAATCCATAGGAAATATAAAACCTAAATTCCATTTCGAGAAAATCAAATTTCCACAACAACCAGAAATCAAATAATGGAAAAATGGAAATACTTTCAGAATTAAAAAATAGGATAAAATAAAAAACCTGATCCTTCTGGGCGTGGGGGTCGCCGGAGATAGAGGCGGCGACGGAGGCGCTGGCTGACCGGACACCAGAGGAGGCGGTTTTAATACAAGATGAAATGAACCTCAAAGAATTGGGAATAAAACCATTGGAATTGCCGTTGTTGTTGGTATTGTTAGTCCTGGTTTGGCTGTTCTTCATAGTCAGACAATACGACCGTCGACCGGGGAGTTACCGGGAGAGAGGTCCCCGCGGAAGAGGCGATCGGAAAGAGCATAAAGTTCCGGCGGAGGGGATCGGGGAACTGAAACGGCGTCGTAGTTGGTCGCGGTGGTTGATGGGATGATGATGATGATGATGGTTTGTGAGTTTTGACCTTTTATGTTATATGTTATGTTAACAGAGACAGACGGTTCCTTTCTGTTTGCCAGTGGAAATGTGAACGTGTTTCTCTCTCTCTCTCTGCAGATGCAATGCTGTTAATTGCAACGTAAGCAAAAGTTTCTGAAATGCCAAAAATGACCCTCTCAAGTTTTGCTTAATTTCAGGGGGAGACGAACTAGTACGTACCTTGCGCCGACCAACAATTATTTTAATTATTAGATTAATTTTTTAACAATTTGATTTATACATATACTTACATTAAAAAATTTTAATCACGCGATATAAAAGTATTCTTAATATAAAGTTACATTTAAGACCATAAAAATTCTTCTTTTATTATTCATGCGCTAATTAAGGATTTTTTTTTTCAGATAATTAAATACATGATTTGTAATTCATTAAAAAAACAAATGTTTTGCAAAGAGGGGATGATTCAAGAGTAAATGGCGTGAAAAAATTTTACATCAATATCATTCAGGCAGAGCTAATTTTTTTTTTTAAAAAAATAACATTCTGAATAAGTGCTTCTATAACCAAAAAAAAAAAAAAAAGCAATCATAATTGCTTCTAATTTTGGAGTGAAAAAGCTCGTCTTTAAGATTAAGAACACGTTATCCGAGTAAGCACGTAACCAAGGTTATAAATGTACATATATGTACTAGAAACTCCTCATTTGAAAAGGACAATATGAAATGTAGCTCCTGACTAGTAGGATATTTCCATCATTATATTTTTTAGGATAAATATATATATATATATATTTTCCTAGAAATTTTAAATTTTAGAGGAAACTAATATGCACTATTAAGTAAAATTGATCCTAAAAATTTATACCAAAAGTATTGATACTAAAAAAAAACTTTTAAGTGAATTAAAAAAAACTTTTTTTAAGGTTAAAAAAAAAAAGAATCATTCGTTAAGTGACTAAAAAGAATCATTTGTTATGTCACCCGGATATTCCCAAATGTAAATATATGGAAAAATTTTTACAGCACAATTTTTATACAAATCCTTCCATCACTCGAGCAATTTCTTTTTCTCCCCCCGCCTATCATAATTAATTCACTCCAATATTTCTTTCTTCGCTCATTAAATGCTAATCTCACCTCGGATTCAAAAGAAAAATCGGACCTGGGGTTATAATAGTCATTTCGTATCTAACCAAGATTGAAAATCCACCGCCAGATGGCGTATTGGGAAGTTAGCAAAAAATTATCAAAAGCGTAGGGGTAAAAAATAATAATTGAGAACTGCGGGGGGGGACTAAGGATAATATTGTGAGGACGTGAGGGAACATTGTTTACGTTACGACAAGGGATGAGAATATCTCAACACGGATGCGGTACCGAGAGACGCTACCCTTTTCCCTTTCTTTTCTTTGATTTTCTTATTCTTGCGAATTAGATACACGAAATCTTTTCTTTTCCATAAAATAAAGTACTGTAATCTCTTTATACTTTTTTTTTTATGGATTTACTATTTGTTTTATTTTTTATGGATTTACTATTTGTTTTTGGAAGACAAGTAAAATGGATATGATTTCCCTTATAGGACTACGAAATACGAATATAACGTGAATAATTACAAACTAATAAATAATATGTAAATCAATTTATCTCTTTTCTTTTTTTGGCTCCTTCAGTCTAGAATGTTCATAAACTGAAAACTAATAATTCTTTGCTTTTCAAAAATATTAAAAAAAGGAATAAGAAATTCTTTGCTTTTCCCAACGACAAGCCTCCTAACAATTTTGACTGTAGAAATGTCTCGCCAATTATGACTTCATACGAGTCATAACATTAATATATATTAATATGATCCTCCTAAGAAAAAGAAAAATATATATGACACTTACTATTAATTATCTTTCATTAGAAAAGGAAAATAAAATCCAACCAAGAAATTTGTACCCTTTTTCTCTTCGAGGTTATCAAAAAGGCGGTTCTTATTTGTATTTGGTGCTTTTTTTCTGTTTAATTTTCTTTCTTATTCTTCTTCCTTTTGTTTTTGTGAGGGGTTTATTTTTCTTTCCACATGTTTTTATATAGTTTTCTCTCCGCATTTCATATGGTGGAAACTTCTCAAGAAAATGCTAAATTATTTCTTTTGAAACAAGAGATATCATTCATAGCAATATCATTTAGGGTGTTCATAAAATCCGCTAATCTAATTAATCCGTGAGATCCAATCCAATTTGAAATTTTGGATTGGATTGAAAAAAAATTTGGATAAAACACGGATTGAGATTTTCCAAATCCAAAGGTTTTGGATCGGATTGCGGATTGAACATTTTTCAATCGCAAAATCCACAAATCTGAAATTATATATATATTTAATTTATATGTATTTATGTATATAATTTTCCAGTGAAGTTTTTTAATCTTCAAAAAAAAAATGTATCTGTGACAAAAATTTAACAAAAATTTTGAAATTTTACAGAAATAGCAAAATTTTATATCATTTTTATGTCATTAAAATAATGACCATATCATTATATAGTAGAAAATATGATATCATTATGATACTTATTATGTCATTTTTGCTATATTTGTAATATTTTAAAAATTTTGCTAAATTTCAAGATATGAAATTTTGCCAAGTAGTCTAATTACCTATATATGTGTGTGTATGTATATGTAGATATATAGGTTAAGTTTAATGGCCCATATTCCTACTTAAAGCGCAGCCCATAATGAAACCCTAAAGCTCTAAAACTAAAACACAGGCAGCAACACCCTGCCTCTCTCTGCCTCGGGGGTAAGGAAAAGAAGAACAGAGAAAAACCTCAAAGGTTGCAGCTCCATGCCTCTCTCTGCCTCGTGATAAATGATGAATATTTTGTGTTATGTTTTATTTTATATAGATATCTATTAATTTATATTTTTAAAAGTTATAATCTGTGAAATTTGTGAATCCAATCCGTAAAATTTGTAAATTTGTGAATCTAATTCGCAAAATCTAAGGAGATATTTGAATTAACCTTCAATTCACAGATTTCAATCCGTGAATACCCCTATTACCATTCATATGGCCCCATTACCTTCAATCAGTTTTCACCCAACAAGAGGTATATAATGAGATTATATACCTCAGCAAACAAAATTAGTGAGATTTTCACCAATAAACAAAATTAATGAGATTATAATACAAATCTAACGATGATTCATACCATATCTTTTGTTTCTTTTAACACTAATAAAACAAGCGCGTGCAAGGCACGCGCTTGCCTTATAATGGGTATTTGTATCTAAATACGTTTGATGAGTAATTTCATGAAATAACAACCCCTTAACTAATGAGATAGCAACGTCAAGCCTGAGTTAAAAAAAAAGGGAGAAAGAGGAAAATTGACCAAGACTTGAGATGAATTAAAATTAATAGGTCAATAGTTTACATAAATTAATAAATAGGCTAAATTACTGTTTTCGTCCATAACTTGTATGGTTATGAACCATAACTTGACAAGTTATTCCCGGTTTTTATCCATAACTTGTCTGGTTATAAACCATAACTTAACAAGTTTATCCATAACTTATCTGGTTATGAACCATAACTTGACAAGTTATGACCTATTAATTTTTATAACTAAAAGTTGACCTATAGACTTTCTTAAATTTTTCATATTGACCTATTTCCTACTGTTTCTCAAAAAAAAAAAATGAAATAGCAACCCCTTAAACTTCTTTTTCTTTGGCCCGTCAAGCCTTGGTTGGTAACTTGGTATTAACTCTAATGTATTTTCTGTCGAGGATGTGCTGCCCTCTGTGAGCACAGTTTCTTAGCCGTTTTTGGGCTTTTCAATAAAGATATTTTCTTAGCCAAAAAAAAAAAAAAAAAGAGATAGCAAACATTAACTAATGAAATACCAACTGCACAATACAAGGAGTTAAAAAATAGTACACGATTACTTTACAGTGGCTAAAGGTTAAAGGTACATTTTATAGTACATAGTTTGTCTAGTATAGTCAATTGTACATAGTTTGATAATACAACAGACTTATAATGCCTTTTTTGCACCAAACCTCCATGACTATCTTGTAGATTTTGCAACGTCAAGGCTGCTGAGAACATACCCTTGCGCAAAAGAACGAAAACAAGGTTGAAAAGAAGCAGACAAATTCATCTCAAAGAATGACTCTCTAAACTCGGGTATTTCGATTCTATGAAAGCAACGTATAAACCATCTTTGACATGTTGGTCGCTAAAAGTCAGCAGACTCTATCTCCGGTAAGCTATCCTCTGAAATCAAGAAAGTTGATGTTTGGACATTTGGTTCTCGGATGTAGAATCATGATTCAGAATCATTCTCAGTTTACGTGTATTTTTTATGAGAGAAAATACTGTAGCGATCCACGAACCATGATTCGAACCATGACACGAATGCTCATACCAAACAATCACACGTGTTTGTTTCATGTATTCGTCTCTGATTTTGAATCATGATTCATAGTTCTCTAAAGTGTTTTTCTCTCATAAAAAATACACGTAAAATAAGAATGATTCTGAATACATAAACCAAACGTCCATTAAGAATAAGGCTACAATTTCTCTGATGCAAGTGTGAAGTAACTGGACATGTTTTTTATTTAAACATATATGCCATTTCAGGTCTAATTAAATAATTTTTATGATAAGATAAGTTGGATTAGAATTTAACTATTCAAATGGCATTTCTTTCAGAGCATTAATCCAATGATAAACTTTTTGACAGTGACATCTAAAAGAAAAAAAGGTAGATACTATTTTTTTTTTAAAGGTAATACAAACTAAAATTTATTAATTCTTCTAACGAAAAGCATGAGTCTGAAGGATATCTGTAACTTAACAGAATTTGATAGGCTCTTTCTTCATGTCTTGTGAAACCAAAACATCAACTCAAACTAACAATGAGACTTGGTTCACTGGTCCATTTAGTTTCAATACAAGAACTGAAATTGCAATTTGCACTTGCATACATCTTTCCACCTAATCCTATTTCTCAGCATCAACATTCCAAATTAAACACTCTCATTTCAAATTAAAACTCCAAATGCACCTCTTAATCCACCCATCTACCAACATTTTTACCAAATACCAACTTCAGCTCCCCAATGAACAAGCAAAAATTATCTGTTACAAACTTATACAAAAAAAAAAAAGAATAAATAAAATAAAATCTTTTCTTTTTGGCCCCTAACAAAGCGGTAATGAATCGAAATCACTTATGCTCCGTTTGTTTCAATGGTTCTGGCCTGATTTTAAATTTTTCTCTCACAAAAAATATAAATTTCAAAAATCAAACTCATGAACCATGTCTGAACTCATAAACCAAACGCCACCTTATTACCCACTAAACCCAATCTACAGAGCTTCACATGTACCTTTCTCCAAAACGGAATGAACAGTCCAACGTTTCATTTAACAACCACAATACCAGTGGTCCTACAACCTTTCTCCAAAACTACACCATAAATGGTCAATATTTTGACACCTGTTTTTTAAAGTATCAAAGGAATGCCATGACTTGTCCAAAACTCCAAATTGCTCTTTCATTTTTTTTTTTTTTTTGGGTCTTCGGCCTTGATTTTATTCTATCCTCAATGAATATATAAACTTAAAATCTTAAATGATGACTACGAGACGAATAATCTGTCAAGTTCAATTTTATTCAACCAACAAAAAATATCGAATTCTATCCATAAAGAATGTGCATAATTTCATATATCGCTAATGCAAATATAATGGAAGTCCTGAGAGCGCCTGGAAAGAAAATTAACCACCTTTCAGGTTTATGGTTTACCTTCGACTTCATATCAATTCCCCATAAAAATTAGGGCCGGTAATATGGGTCACGACACGACTCAAAAATGACATGAATTTTATGAGTTAGGGTTAAGAAAAAAGATATTCGGATTAGAATCAGGTCGACTTGAAATTAATACGAAAAACATTGGTCAATTTCGAATTAGACCTGCCTAACCCGAACACGACACAAAACTCGTTAAAAACTAAAAAATACATCTATTTTTCATTTCATATTTTAAATTTTATTATAAACTTATAATATCATGATAGTTATACTCAAAATCTTATACTATTATTTACTTAATTTTAATGGATCTTATTGTAATTTAGTGTGTTATGAATTTTAAGTTATTTCTAATATGTAAAAAACTAAATAAAACTATAATTTTTGTGTCAATCTCGGATTCATGGGTCAATTTCGTGTCACGGGTCATTTTCGGGTCGTGTCGTGTCAACTCTTAAAGTGGTCGTGTCGTGTTCGTGTTGCGGTTTTTAAAAAATTTCGTGTCACGGATCGTGTTCGGGTTGACTGTAAATTTAAAAAAAAATAATTAAAACACGACACGAACACGACACGTGACACGAATTACCACCCCTAATAAAAACCTCCATTTATCGTTCCATTCACTTAACCCAATCTCCCACTTTCCCTTTTACTGCATAATTCAGTCACGTGGTATGAAATACTCAATAAACCTTAAGCAACACTCTCATAGAACTTTTAATTGAGCAATTACGCCATTAAAATGACTTTTTTCTAGATTAAAAATCTCTGCTAAACAAGACTAACTACATCCTTTCAGCACAAACAACTAATTCTCTCTTTAACAACGTAATACATTCCATTAACAACAAGATTAAAGAGATTATAAGAAACTTCTAGAAGCAAAAAGAACAGGACTTACTCAAAACGCACGCGACTTCCAAATAGGTACTGCTCTCAGCCAATTCCTCGATCGGATAACCTCTGTACTTGAAGATTCCTTCATCACCATCAACATACCCAGGCATAGTTTAGCTCCTTGTCATTCCTTCCCGTCGTAATCTGCAAAACTCATAATCACGATTATTCAGTTCCACAAAAAAAAAATAAAAAACCAAAGATCCGAACTTTTTTCATTGGGAAAAGGAAAAATATGTCGAATTTAAGTGATTGTTCTTGAGAAATAGAACCTTCTTGAGATGAGTGTCTTTAACGGTGCCTTCGTCACGATGGCAAGGAGATTGAGGAGCCATTAGCCTTCAAATTAAGACACACCAGCCGCCATGGAAATCAATGAAAAAAAAGAGTAAAAATAGAAGAAAAACATTAACGGGATTTTGCTTCAAGATTCGTTTCTATTCTGAATTATAATCGTTTCTATTCTGAATTATAATTCTTTACGGTGTTTTTTTTTATAAAAGAATTTAAATTTTAAAAGTTAAAATCATAAATTATAATTTTAAATTTATGAAAATTTTTAATTAATTCATTAATTTAAATTATGAGTCATAAATCTTATTTTTACAATTTAAATTTTTTATTAAAAAATATTATAACAAAATTAAGAATTATAATTATAATTCAATAAAATTCTTAAAACAAACGTACCTTATATATAGATAGATAGTAAATAGATAAAAAAAAAATCTCAATTTTATTGTTATATCCACTTTCTTTACTATGGTCTCGCAACAGAAAAAACGAGGAAATCTTTTTTCTTATTTTATTCAAGTCAAAGTCAAATTCCTCGCATCCTATTCAGCCCAAGGCCGGAAGTAATGTATCGTGAACAAGAAAATGCATAATGGATGAAATAATTTTAGATTAAGATTCTTTATTAAGGGATGAAATTTAATAATAAAACATTTCAATAATTTAAATACATATAAAAGTTCTTACAAAAACAAAATAACATCTAGAAGTAAATATTGCACGGTGCGATTGAAATTAACGATCGTATTTTAATTTCATTGAAAAATATTGAGTTTATCTTTGAAAATTCAGTTAAATTTACCTTAGCAAGATCAAAAGATGTTGTGTGTGCAAGGGGATTTGTGTGTAAGGGGATTTACAGTTCTATCAACTAATTTGACATCTATATATATAAACAGAAATTTAAAAAAAATATACCGAGAAATAGATAGATTCAAAATAATATTAAATACATTTCTTTATTGATAGTCAACTAACTTGAAAGAGATATATAAACAGATATTCTAGATTCCTTAAATATTCTTCTGATTTGAACATCGAAATGTCTTCTACATGACAATCTCTAAAGCCCATTATCAAAGGAATGAGCGAAAGACGATAGAGAAGGAAAAGTCTAACCATCAGAAGTTGATATTTGGAAAATTGCACAAACAAGGGGCAAGTTTTTTTTTTTTTTTTTTTTCCCCTTAAAGGAAAGGACAAGGTTTTTGTCCTGTTTTTTTCATTGGTTTTTAAAAAAAAAAAAAAAAGAAAAAAAAAATCTGGAATAGTGCTTCATTCAAACAACAAAGGAAACAGTTGCCACAACAGGGAGTACTTTCTGTGGGTTTACAAAACCGGACCTTGCATTCTGGCAAGCCCATCTACAAAAACCATGAGCACTAACATTACTGGATCGCCTGATCCACTTGAAGGAAACTGGCCTGTTTGATTTGAGTTTGTAATTCGAGTTGATATGTAATTTTACATGAGAGCTTTTTACTGTAATAAAAAATTAGATGTAATTATTTCTGAGAACTTTTTACTGTAACAAAACTCAAATTCTAAACTCGAATCAGTGAAGTGAACAGGACCGTGTTACCGGTAAGTTTGGGCGGTTTTTTTAAAAAACTACCAGCTAAATAAAAAATAATTTTCTTTTAGGTTTGAACGGTTTGATATTTTTAATAAAAATTAAATTGAATCAAATCACTATTAGACAATTTGATTTAAACGGTTTAAGCTTAATACTAAAAAAGTTTCAATAATTCAAAAAAATTATAAAATCGTTAATCAATAAAAATAAAAATAAAATTCAAGTTTAAAATATAACTTAAAAATAACAAATATCAAACAATTCACTATTTAAAGTTTTAATACAAATCAACAAAAATATGATAAAATGTATTTTATAAGTGTAAAACTTTTATTATGACCAATAAAATCTAAAATAAATATAAAAAATTATATATATATATTTGGACGGATTATTGAGCGGTTTGGGGAGTTCAAACCACAAATTAAACCGCTCAAAAAATTAGATTAAAAAACTGAATAAATCACCTAATTATTAAAAAATAATTAATGATTTAATTCTGTTTAGTTTGAATTGGAGGGTTTTCGGCGGATTTTTTGAACACCCTCGAAGGAAACAGACTGAAGTAACTTCGAAAAAGACATGTTTGGACAATAGAAATACACCACCATTTCGGGTAGGGCAGACCAAAGGATAAAAATGTCAATACTCAGTTTGGACTCACTGGCAACGACAATTTCATAAGGCTCTAGCCTTCGCTGCCCGGAGAGCTTCCCTAATAGCCGAGAGCTCTCGCAAATAAAACTGAGGGGGCCTGTAAAGGTGTAGCAGGGAACTATGACAGCACGACCAGAAGTGGAACATTTGTTAACAAAACGACAAAAAAATAAAACGACAAACTTCTGTTTCCAAAGGTGATGAACTTGAAAAGGAAAGGATGAAAACGATGCTCTCCTAAAAACGACAATAACGATGGAACAACAACATAAAGAAAATAGCAGTCTAGAAAAAAAAACAACCATAAGAAACGACAATAACTCAACGAATAACAATACCAGAAGACGAGAACTTGAAAGAAAAGAAATTTTTAAATGCAAATACTCAATAGAAAACGTCATAAAAACGTATAAACGACAAGAACGATTAAATAAAAGAGTCAGGTGAAACGACAACCATAGGCCACAAACGGATAATCCACCATATATTATTGCACAACCATTGTAAACTGTAAAGTATGCTATTTTATATACTTCCTTGTACAAGTTGAAAACTAGCTTCCCATAATCTGTTAAACAAAACCTTGTAAGTAATGGAAGAACCATTGTAGCCGTTTGGGTGTCCATTGCAAACAAAGTCACTCAGACAATGTTTTACATGGAACTTGAAATATAAAGCTCATCCTAGTTTTCGATTCCACTGCATTTTAAGGCGCAGTTTAAAGGATGTAGTGCTTTTCAATTGCCATGAAAAACACTATTGAATGACCAAATTTCCATGGGACTTCCAAACATCCCCTTACCGGACACTTATAATTAACATTGTCTCAAGAACTGAATGCAACCTGCTTGTGTTTGTCGAGTTCACTCAGATACTTAGTTGAGTTGTATTCTTGAACATCCAAGAGCTCTTCTGAGTATGTTCTTTGGAGGGATCCTTTCTTACATTCTTTTGCACGCGCGGAATCTTGTTCATCGCCTCTAAGCACTACAACAACCTACAACCAACAAAACAATGTGATTATGCCCCTCTAAGTTTGTTCTTTCTCAATTTTCCAAAGATGACTGTGGTTGAAATGATCTTGAGTAAATCATGAAAGTATAGGAGACATGAATCCATCTAGTTCTGCACTTGCCTGGTTCATTCGAGGACGTAAGATAGGAGACTGCTCAATGCACAAAGACGCAGTCAAAGCCACCAGGTCCATCTCTTCTGGGATGTAATTTTCACCAAGAGAAGGATCAATAAGCTTTTTAGTATCATTGCTATCAAGAAGAGGCTTGGCCTACAAGAGAGGCAAAAATAAATGAATAAAAAGAGTATCCAATTATGATGTCCTAACGACATTTAAATCATTGAAAAGCAGATCTACCCAAATAACAAGGCTTCTCTGTTGATCATCCAATGCTGGACGCCCAGTCATGAGCTCCAAGAGCAGAACCCCAAAGGAATAGACATCAGTTTTCTCATCTACTATTCCATGCATGAAATATTCAGGAGCAAAGTACCTGCATTTTTTCGGGTATGAGGGAGACCAAGAATTGTCAGAAACAGATGTTTCTGACAGTATTAAAAAATTTTAGCTTACATACCCGAACGTCCCCTCGAATTTAGAGACATTGTGGTGAGAACATTGTTTGGGCAGCCATTTTGCAAGCCCAAAATCACAAATCTGTATGAAAGGCTAGTCAATACTCATAGGAAATGTTACTTTGGTAAAACAGTTATGGTTGATAAATCATATTATGGCTAATGAGAAAATATAAAGATCTTCTTAAAGATTCAACAGTCAAGTGTTCTTGGTTCGAAATTTGAAAAGTACCTGAGGTTCATAATCTTCTGTAAGGAGAATGTTGTCAGCCTTGATGTCTCTGTGGATAATTCGCTTCAGACAACTGTCATGAAGGTACAAAAGACCATCTGCTGTTCCTAAAGCAATTTTATATCTTTCTTTCCAACCTATTATTGTATTCTTTGAACCTACATTCCCACAAATAAAAATAATAATAAAATAATAATAAAAAACAACAACAACAACCAATCAACCATTAAACTAAGAGGCCATCTAAAACCAAGATGAGGATTTTATGAACAAACCGTGAAGGACAGATCCCAAACTCCCAAGAGGAGACAATTGGAAAACAAGGTGCATTCCTTCTTCAATGCAACTTCCAATCAATTTAGCAACATTGGGGTGATTTACATGAGCTATAATGCCAAGTTCAGATAAGAAGCCTGATGTTTTCTCATCTGCTGTTCCTTTTGTCAGCCGCTTTACAGCGATAAGCTGTCCATCCTTCAGACAACCCTTGTAAACGTCGGCATAGCCACCTTTTCCAACCAGATTTTCTAAAGAAATAGGAACCACAAATCAGTAGCAAGAAACCTATATAACAATCAAGAGAAATTCAGTTTTGAAAAATGAGATTATTCTAGATAATATCTACCGGCACTAAAGTTGTGGGTCGCAGTTTGCAGCTCGGAGAAGGTAAAGCTGACCAATGAGTTCTGGAAGTTGTATAGGATGCATAATTGCGGATTCTCTCTTTCACTTCTGCTCTTTCTCCTCGATATCTTCGGAACATTGACCGGAGGAAACGAGGCCAAGCGCTTAATAGACTTCTTACTCCACAACCTCAAGAGTTTACTCCAATTGAATAGTCCCCCTGATTGTGAGGACTTGGATTTGCTGTTTTCATGAGAGCTTTTGTTACTTTGTGAGTCTCTTGTACAGGCGTCTAAAACTCCTCTCGGAGATGATTCATCAGGTTTGTCTTTTTCCATGTCTAAATATCTCAAATCTACACAAGAAGGAAAGCCAAGAATTTGGAAATTGGAACATGAAAGAACAAAAAAATGCATAAAAAAGTTGTCAGCTATGGAGAGTTATGAAACAGATAATTGAAAAATGATTACCTTCAGCAGAAGCAGAAGGGTACAGGGAATTTTGTTTCTTAGTTTTAACCTTAGCAACCTCATGTCCAGGAATGTTTGGTGGTTGTGGTTTTCCACATTTCTCATTCTCATTCTCCCTTGAGTCAAAAATGATTGAAATGTTAGAACAAGTTCCAAAAAAAAAAAAGGCCAGGAAAGTAGAATATAATGTAACTTTGTTAGTCTGCTTTGTTGGTATTGTTGAAGGATTAGAAAGATAAAACGATCTCAAGAAGATTAATTCCAACGCTACAAGTTTCTCCCTGAGTTAGAACAGAAAGTCAATACTGAAATGACAAAGAAAAACCATCTGTCAAAATGGTTAAGTTTTGAGTTATGATTCAACGAAGACATGTGAATCCCTGAATAAAATTGGGGGAAAAAAACTTTAATCCATAAAAATGAAGAATCAAAAGCTTCTGAATTGTCGACTTCTGGGCATACGAGTCCATAAAAGGGTCGTTCAAGTCCTCAAAATCTCTACTCATGGCAATTAAAAAGGTGGGGAAAAAATTCCATAATACCCACAAAGGGAATCTAAATATAAAACATATACAAAAAAGAAAAAGAAAAAAGGACTAGCTTAAATCACAAAACACATGAAACCACCCTCTGTACCTTTCTGTTACAACATGAAGAGACAAAATTCACTGCACACTCCAAAAAAAAAAAAAAAAAAATTAAAGAGAGAGAGAGAAAACAAGATGAGACGTCCCAAAATGAGGAAACCTTAAGCAGAAAAAACGTCTACCATTAAGAAAGAAAGTAAGACTCGTGCATTATAAAATACCCATATCCCACAATCTCAAAATCAAGAAATGAAACACAATAGACGAAGATATTATCGTACATTATGTTATCAAAGGACAAAAGACATCTAAGAACAGAATACAAATACAAGACAATAGAACAATAGAAAACCTCTCTATATTAAAAAAAAAAAAGCTTTCTTTTCCTTTTTGCCTCCTTTACACAACATGAAATGGACGACATCCAGACGCTCAAAATCAATGTAAAATAATAATAATAATAATAATAATAATAATAATAATAAGAGAGATTTAAAAAATAACAAAAAAAAAAAGACATACCCAGAAGAGAGAATATGACGAAGTCAACACAGGCATACCGTGGAGAATAAGGTTTCTGCTCTCCGACATACGCCATGAATGAACGCTCATAAAGGGCAAAACCCAAAATAAAAAAAAGACAAAGAAAAGCAGACCAAACTAAACCGAAAAATATGTTGATTAAATGAGGGCAAAAGGAAAAACAAAAAAAAAATCATACAAAAATAGAGCAGTTATAAATTTTACCAATGCGCTTCCACAGGAACTCTCAAACTCCCCTCCATTTCTTCTTCTTCTTTTTTATTTTTTATTTTTGTTCTTCTTATTCTCTGGTGATCGTTTTAAGCATTTCTTGAGCAGGAAAATCTAAACCAAGAGCAAGAGGACGAGAATCTACTCTCAATCCAGAGACTAAATATGGAAAATAATAATAATAAAAATAATAATCTGATTAATCTTTTCTTTTGCTCTCTCTCTCTCTCTCTGCGTAAGAGAGTGAGTATGGTACGGATGTCTGAGTCTGTTTTTATGGTGTCTTACATGGACCCAAGAGAGTCGCTTGTTTGCTCGCTGAGTTGATGAGAAGTGTTTGAAAAGCTTTTGAGCGACTTCTTCTCTCTGCCCACGAAACAGTTTTTGAATGGACGAGAGAGAAACAGAGAAGAAGAAACTCGCTCTGTTTTTGGCAAATTTCACGCATGTGTTAGTTTATGAAATAAACGACGGTGTTGCACTTGGAACGTTATTTTTTCTTCTCTTATCCTCTTTTTTCTCCTCTGAATTTTTTTTTTTAAAAAAAAGAAAGAAAAAAAACCCTGTACCCTGACCCCATTAGTCAATTATTTCTAGTACCTGAATTTTTTTAAGGTACAAGTACTTGAATTTGTGCTTTTTTTAAAAAAAAAAATGCATAGTATTTTAGAATACCCTTTACATTTGTCGATACGGTTAAAAATGTATAAGTTATTATTGAAGTTGTGTATGTGATAAAAAAAAATTAATAATAAAAAATTTAAATTTAAACTTTAATAACATGACTTGATCATGAAATAATATACCCTTAGCATGTGTTCATTAATGATGTTTATGTTTGTTTAAAAACGGCCCCATTCATTTCGCTGATTTGAGTTTAGAATTCGAGTTTTGCTACAGTAAAAATCTCTCATAAATAATTACATTTAACTTTTTTGCTACAGTAAAAAGCTCTCACATAAAATCACATCTCAACTCAAATTAAAAACTTATATCAACGAATTAAACAGGTAAAATTTCAGTTAGTAACACCATTAAAATTGAATTTGCACGGTCAAATAGACTTTCGCGCCTCTTTTTCTCTCTTTAATGTCACACGTGAACCATTTTATAAATAAGATGTGCTAGTAAACATTTTATAAATAAGATGTGCTATTAAACATTTTATAAATAAGATGTGCTATTAAACCATTTTATAAATAAGAATTAAAAATTAGATGCGTGATCGAATCCACAACTTTCTACTCAAAACCTTCTTCAATCCCGCCCTCCTCATACCATTAGATTTTGGCTCATATTCATTACTTATACTTGAATTTAAGTAAGAACTTGTAATACCTTTTTTTGTCCATAGTAACATTAAATTTGAATAATCTACGCAGTTAACAAAATCACGTCTATTTTAGTAAGACGTATATGTAGTTATACTCAAATTTAATGACTAATAAATACTTAAATTCTACGAGGAAAGTTTTAAATTTGGTATATATATATATATATATACACATATATATATTTGCTCTAATGGGGGTGATGCAATTGATTCGTTCAAATGTGACAAACCATATTTCACGGTACAAAATGCCAGTTATAATTAATGTTACTTCTTTTAACTACTTAGAGTTGCATGTAAGATAGTGTGTCACCATGCATATATCATAATTAGTGAATTTTAAAACTGACAAATAAATTTGTGATTAATTTCTTTCAAAAAATGGCGATTAATTGAAAATATGCAGTATTAGTCACCAGTAGCAAAATATAATAACAAAATTGCTATTTCGTATGCATCATCCAAGGCTCCAAATATATATATATATTGGTTTTTTGTTTTCATTTTTAGTTAGTTTGGCCTCTTTTGTGTTTAATTCGTATTCATACTTTTCGTTATTTTGTTACAATCTTCTCAGGCTTGAAAGCAATAAAACAAGTAAATCAGGTAATTAGAGTAACCCCAGTAACATGAACGTGTTTACACATCTTTGCGTGAATGAGGAACATCGTGTCCTACAAAAATGTTTAATTAGATAATAATATTAAAAGCAATTATGGGTTAAATAATAAAGAAATTAGATATGTAGCAAAGAAACCCATTATATGACAGTAGTTAATTTATGTTAATTTGTATGGGCATATATGATTAACAAGTAAGCGTTGAAACCCCAAATTAAGATTATAAAAATTAAATGAAAGGAAAAAAAGCCATATTTTTTAATTTACCGAGCTATCATTCTTTCTTAATTCCCTTGTATTAATATTTCTCACTACATGTGCTTAATTGTCCATATACCATAAAATATATTCTTACAGGATATTCATAAAAAATAAAAGCGTAATTTGGGATATGAATGAACAACTTGGCTGTAAAAAGATAAGAATAATTAAGATCCGCAAGAAAATTTCACTAGAGAGGTTCATTGATAGATATTGACAGTTTGTTCAGCGAAAAATTTTAATTAAAAAAAAACACAGCTTTCAATTTGCAATAATTAACATTGAGGCCCTAAACTTACGATATGGTTTTCATTATTATATAGTTTTAAATTAATGCATGTAGTCGGTACGTAAAGCAGTTGCTATTAAGTTGATCAAATGTAATTGTTTTTTTTTTTTGTTTAAAGTTGACAAATATAATATAATCTCTTGCAGTGTAAAAATAAATTGATTGTACCACTTGCTTCAACTTGTTCAATTATTATAGGGATAGGTTAGGTACCAAGAATATCATCAAAAATAGTACATTTTTCGTTTTGTGTTTTTTTCTTTTTTGACAAAAATTTGATCAAACTTAACCGATCTCATAACAAATTAATGTATAATTAATCCACTTCGTTTAAGTTGTCAAATTTTGTTAAAAGTAAACTTTTGGCACCAAAGTAAGAGTTTCACTTTTGTAAAACACTATTAAGGTTTATACTTCCCAATATCATCAAATTGATTTTTCCTTTTTTCTTTTCCGACTTTTTAAAAAAACGAATCTACTCGTGGTTGATATGTTTTTCGCGTGGGGAATGAGATCTGTAAAATTGTAAATGCTTTTCTTCCAAAAAAAAAAAAAAAAAAAAAAAAAAAAAAAGTTTGGAAAATTGAAAAATTTTTTTTTCCAAAAAAAAAAAAAAAAAAAAAAAAAAAAAAGAAAGAAAAAAGTACGCTCTCGCAAAATCGAATTATTGAATTGCCCATTTCTCTCCCACTCGATATATTAATGTGATTTGGTAAGTGCTACCTTCACGCACACGCACGCGACATACAAATCAAACTTTATTATTATCATTATTATAATTATAATTATAATTATACCAGGTTATATTAGTAAGATCAATTTCTGATCGTTAAATTCAATTAAAATTACATTAAATTAAAAAAAATATGCATAACATATAATTTTTAATATAGATACGACGGTTGAAAATAAATTTATTGCGATAATTTTTATTTTTTTATAGAGAAATTTCTTAACAAATTATTATTATTTTGTTTTTAAATGTTTACCGGGAAAAACAAAGCTTTCATATAGATGTGATTTTAATGATTATTTCTATATTTATCTATAAATATGTATTATTATTTTAATTATAAGATAGTAATCTAACAATTATAATAAATTATATAATTAATTAAAAAAATTTATATAATTAATAAAATTAAATTGTTATTAATTTACGTAATTAAATTTATATATTTAATGATAATCATAATATAACCATTTAAAATTCATTTATATATATGTATATATATATATATATATTGTTTTGACTCGAAAAGAAAAGCTTTCCATTGAAGTGATGATCAATAATACTCTAGGTG